TTTCTTATTTTGCTCTTTATACAAAGAATATTACAATTATGAAATGCAGAAAATTTTTTTGGCAATACTGGATTTGAATTGACTTTGTGCTTGCTAGGCATTCTACACCTTTTTGCTTTAGTTATTTTTCAATACTCCCAGCCCTTTTTGCTTTAGTTATTTTTCAAATAGGGCCTCAAATTTATGCATGGCAGGCCTGGACCACCATTCTTCTATTTATGCTTCCCATGTAGCTGGGATGACAGATGTGCACCACCATGCTCAGCAGAATCATGTTCAGCTTTTTATTGGTTAAGATGGGGGTTTACTGAACTTTTTTTTTTTTTTTAACCAGGGCTGGTCTTCAACCACAATTCTCCCAATCACTACCTCCCAAGTACCTAGAATTATAGGCATAAGCCACTGCTCCTGGATAACAGTTTTTAATTATAGATAAAATATTTTTTATGCTTAGGTGGGGGTAAGTACCAAAAATAAAACAGAATGTATAAAGGAAAAGACTGATAGATTTGAATACTAAAATAAATTAAACTTATTTCATGGGAAAATAGCATTAAAGCTAAAAGAATGTGGCAAATAGTGAATAAACTCTGAAGTAATTTCTTTAAAATTATTATGAGACTAGACAGTAACAGGCTACTCAAGAGACTAAACATCAAAGGGCAATATACATATAAAAGATGCTGAACATAATAAAATTCAGCTAGATTCAATTAATGAGCCATCACTTTTTACAATCAGACTGAACAGAAAAAAAGATGGGAAATGGGTTTTCTCAAACACTGTTGGTAGCAAAAAAGATGGGCATATTCTTTCTAAAGAACAATTTGGGAATTAAGAGTATTATTTGTGGCTAAATAATCTTACTTCTCGAGAGTAGAGTCAAGGGATAATCAGCCAAGTATACAAAGAAAGTGTTCATGATATCATTGCCTATAGAACCTATTAGTTGATCCAGCAATCCCTGGATATATAGCGAAAAGAACTGAAAACAGCCCCTGAAAGAGGTACTTGCACTCCCACATTCACAAAAGCCAAGGCTTGAAAGCAATCTAAATGTCCATCAACAGATGAATGGATAAAGAAAATGTGCTGTATATACACAACGGATTCAACCCTAAACAAAAAAAAAAAAAAAAAGGAAATCCTATCATATGCTATAACATGAATGACTTGAATACACCTGGAAGACATTATGCTAAGTAAAAAAAAGCTAATCACATGTCAAACACTGCATGATCATGATCCCATTTACTCTCATTATTTTGGAGATGGGATCCTGAGAACTATTTGCCTGAGCTGGCCTTGAACCATGTTCCCCCTGATTTCAGTCTCTCAAGTAGCTAAGATTACAGGTATGAGCCATCAGCCCTCGCTGAGCAGTTGTTTCAGTTTTTCAAGATGAAAAAGTATTAGAGATTTGTTGTATAAGAAGGTGTATATGTTAACACTACTATAATGTCCATGCTTAAGAATGGTCAAGATAGGGGGATTAAACCTTCATGCCTCATGCTTGCTGGGCACACACTCTACTACTGAGCTACAAAGCCAGCTCCCTTATACTTTAAATTTCCAGGGCATTTTACAAGATCATCTTATAGACAAAATTATGAGATGAAGACCACTGTTAATATCAATACTTTCAGAATATTTGTGTTTAATTATGTAAATGTGCCCTAGACACCAGGATTTTAATATTAAGAAATAAAAGTATGTGTCTGTGCTTAAAAAAAAAGGTTAAGATGGTAAATATTATGTTGTTTTTACCATAGAAACAAAAAAATTACCTGAAAACAATGTAAATAGCCATCAGCAGAGAACTGATTGTTAGTTATACAGTGAAATATAAGAAGTCATCAAAAATATTAATACTTATTCAGCTGGATTCACAAGTTATTGTTGAGCTTCTAAACAAAATTATCAAAAAGCAAAGCAGTATGATGCCATTAAAACCTATCTGTCCTTCTAGATAAAGAGAGAGATATCTATAAATAGTGTTATCTCTGGGTAACAGGATTGCAGACCACCTTTTCTTTGCCATAGTTTCCTATATCTTTAATACAATGAGTATCTGTTATGTACATGGCAAAGGATGACTTAAAAGTTGAAGTGGCTGCCATCACTGGTTCTAGAATCTTCGGATGGAACTTTTTCTCATTTTGTGTCTGCCACCAACGGAGAGGATTCATAAATATTTGAGAGACAGGATAAGCAGTGGTTAAGAGTTCAAGAATCAAAAAAAAAAAAGAGTTCAAGAATCAGGCAGACTTGGATATGACTTCTCAGTTCCAAAGTGTATTGATTAGGGAGTCTTACAGTCTTATTTAACACCACTAAGCTCCATTTTCTTCAACTACGAAACAATACTGTGACTGGGGTTATAGCTCAGTGGTAAGTGGTAAAGCATCTGCTTAGCATTTGCAGGGTCCTAGGTTCAATCTCTAGCACCCCCAAAATAAACCAATACCTAAAGTTGTGGCAAGGAAAATATACCATACACATATAACATCATTTCTGGCTCAGATGAAATACTTGATAAAATGATGGCTATCATAACTATTTACTGACTTGGTTTTTACAATGGAAGGGTTTATGAAAAACAAAATAAAACTAAGCTTGTGTAGAAGACTATATTGCTAAATTAACACAGGAAATCCTAACCAGAGCTGGGAATGTGGCTCAGTGTGCATGAAGCTATGCATTCATTTCCAAGCACACACACAATTCTAACCATTAAAAACACAAGAAACAACGTTTTGCCTGGCAGAACTGCAAAACTGGCTGGATGGTATGATCACCTTTTTATAACTAGAAGGATTATACTAGTAAATTTCTTATCCACATGGTATATAAACACCACCCATGATATTGAAAACAGACTTAGTAGACCTTCAGAAAATAAAGAGGAAAATATGCTTATTTTAATCTAAAGGTAGAATGATAAGAGACCAAATAAATACACAAAACATGGCTACGGAAGACTTAATTGAATTTAGGGGCAAATTAAAAGAAAAAGTAACATTATCATTAATTTTACTTAGCCTCTCTCTTCCACACTACTTTAACAGGGAACTTTTTAGACACTGCTGCACTCCCAAAGTACACAGAACAGCATCAGTGTTTAATAAATATTTATAAGATGATTTATAAGAGAAAGTCTCAGTAAAAATTATATGAGGCCAGAGGCCGGTGGCTCTTAATCTTATGTATTCAGGAGGCAGAGACCAGGAGGATCGCGGTTCAATGCCAGCCAAGGCAAACAGTTCCGCGAGACCCTACCTAGAAAAACCCTTCACAAAAATAGAGCTAGTGGAGTGGCTGAAGGTGAAGGCACTGAGTTCAAGCCCCAGTACCGCAAAGATAAATAAATAAATAAAGTGTGTGTGTGTGTGTGTGTGTGTGTGTGTGAAAAAACTTAAGGGATAGGCATCCGGCTTGGTGTGGAATGGCCTTTTTGGATAACAGCCCCATCAAACTTACAGTCAACCTGGCATCCCTTAGAGGGCATAAACCACGGCCTCGTTTGCTAAGCTTATTAGACTGTGAGTTCTGAAGTCTTTTTTAATGATGCCTTGTATTTATTTAATGATGCGGTGTATTATCGTTGGCATCCTGTCGCCACTTATTTGATGTATGCGTTTCTCCAAAAAAGAATGGCAATAACACCATGGGGGATCATGAGCCCTTCCGCGGCTTTTCTCCTTCAAAGCCATGGATAGTAACAAGTGTTTGCAAAAGTGGGAGGAGTTAGCTCAGAACTTCCGAGTCCGTTCAAACTGCCCACGTGAGGCCATGCTTCACGCATAGCGGCTAAAAGCGACTATAGGTGTCCTCTACAAACACATAGGTGCAATCTAACAGTGAGCGAGCCAAGGGGGGTGGGGTGGGAAGGGTCTCCGGGATTGACGGACTAGGGTGGAAAATGGCATTAAGGGCTTGGGAATTACCCCCATCCCATTTCACCTCTCTTTCTTAAAATGCAATTAAATTCCGTTCAACCTCCTATCTCCCACGCAAGAAACTAGCTACTTGCCTGACACACCGCTACAGACCCCCACACCTGGTCTATTCGCTGCAGACTCTCCAACTCCCGCCACAGGCTTGGGATGTGTACGCCCCTAAGCGGAAGTGACGTTACAAGAGACGACCTGGAAAGCTCAAACATCAGCAACCAAAAAAATCTTACGGTTTTCTGAGAAAATTCCTAGCCATTCTTCTAGCCCTTCTTTCTTCCGTTAGTGTGGAGAAAATGGCTTACTACAGCCTTGCGACCACTTGTTCTTAATTTCAAGTCATTCAAAACTTTGTCCCTTCTCATTTGGCCAAAGAAGCGGCACTACCACCACCAGGGAACAACAATTCCCGTGGGGCCCCGCATGAAGAAATAGGAGCGAATATGGACGAGTGCAAAGCACCTTGGGAATTGTAGTCGGCTCAGACCGAAAAGCACAGTCGCCCCGCCCTCCTCCACTGAGGTTTAAGAAACCAGGTGTTCTGCTTAGAACCCGTTACGCTAAGGGGAGGAGCCAGGCTCTTCAGCAGTATTCCTCACTTCTCCCCACACGGAGGATGAATTTTTATCCTTATCTCTATAACCCAGTATAAATACTCCTTACTGTAATGTAGTTGTCTTTTCAGTATCTCCAATCAGTAAAAACTCCCGGAACTCCCTCACCTCAGGCTCCCAACTCGTGGGAAAAGGTGGCTCTTTTACAAGTGGGCAAAATGGCTGTCCTTCTAGTTTTCCCATTGGTTGACTTCTGCGTCCTTCAAGGGCGGTTACTTATCACAGATTGGTTCTTTTTCCCTTGAGGGTGGAGGAAGCCTTGGCACAGCTCTCTCGCGGCCGGAGGAGAGAAGGGGGTGGAGAGATGGCAGTTCTTTCACATGTGATTGCACGTGATTCATGTCACTCTTAGACTGTACAGCCTATGAGGGAGTCGGTAGCCCTCAAAGAGAACAAAGAGGCGGGGCTAGTGCGTGGTGGGAAGGGGCGGGATTGTGCCGCCGCGGCTGCCGCTGGAGCCGGTGTCCGTGCTGGTGATGGGGTTAATTTCCTTTCGTAAGACTCTAACTTGCACCCACCCAGCCCCGCCGTCGCCCCGCTGCGCCGCGCTCCAACCGCCTCCTCCTCCTCAGTAACGCGGGTAAGAGATGCCCCCCTCCCCCACTTCAGCTCCCGGGGAATAACGCGCCTCGCTCCCCTCCCCCGCCCGCCAACCGGTAGCGCTAACGGAGCAGGAGGCTGGCAGGGGAGAGATGCGGGGTGTTAAAAGGTGGCCTTCCCCGCCAAGCCGTGGGCGCTCCAGCCAGAGCTCTGCCTCCGTGCTTCTGCTGCCAGACCGCTGGGAGATCGGGTTCTGAGGGATCCGGGCTCGCCTGGCCCGCTGCAGTTGCAGCCACTACCTTGTGCCCACCGCCCCCACCCGGGGGCCATGTGAAAAGCAAACCCCTCGAGGCCTAGCGGAGGAGGCAGGGGAAAGGTTCCCGAGTCCCTGCCATGGCTGCTGCTGCTCCTGCTGCTGCAGCTGCAGCTGCACTTGCAGCCCCAGGGACTGGGGAACCAGCCACAGCAGGCCTGCCCTGAGCGGGTGCCGTGCGTGGTTCTGCTCTCTTGTCGCCGACGGCCGCAGCTCCCGACCTCGCGCGGGATAACGTTTAAAAAGGAAATGAGACGTTCCGTCTGCTTGGTGAAATGTAGGTACATCTTGCGTATGGTACCAGAAAAAGCACAATGAGAAAATTAAAAAGAAAGTTGAATGACTGTCAGTGCCATGGTCCCCAGAGATGAGATTTGCAGACCTTATTCCTCCAAACCCTGTGTTTGAAGTTTTTTGTTGTGTTTTCTTTATTTCGTGTGTGTGTCTGTGTGTGTGTCTGTCTGTCTGTCTGTTAGATAGATACAAAGGAGTGCCACTGCTCTTTGAGCTTGCTTTTATAAAGGAAGTTAAATTAAGTTCAGGCTGTCGTGCCCGTGTGTAATTGTCCTGGGATAGCAAGTCAATTAAGAAAAAGGTAAGAAGGTGTTTTGCAAAATAGTAAAGCTTAGTAAATAGCAAATTATTTCTCAATAAAATTCTCCAGCAGAAAAAAATATGTATCTCCAAGGTTGTCATTTGCCTGAGTGTAACTTTGGTTTTATCTTAAATGTCATTGACTACAAGAACATTTGAGTAATGAAAAGATGGTTAAGGGGCTGTGGCTGTAGTTCTGTGGTAGAGCACTAGTATGTATAAGGCCCTGGGTAACATACCCAGCACCCCACCCCATACACACACACAATGGTTAAAAGCAAACTGGAAGTTCACCTATTTGTAATATGTGCCATCAATAAGATTCATAAAATACTTAGTAGGATACCAGTTTGATTAGAGTAATGGGACATGCATCACTTTTAAAATTTTGGCATTTGGGCTGTTTCAAGGCATTTTCTTATAACTTCATAACATTTTGACTGAGTGCTCATCTTGTCAAATATCATTCTTTGCTGTTCTGCCTGTGAGAATATGAATTTATTGGATTCTGATCTGCAGTAGTCATGCCTGTAGACAAACCCATATCTGAGGACAACTTTGTTACCATAATAAACTTGGGTTCTGAAAAAATACCTGAGCTTTGATTCTTATGCCATTTAATCAGAATGGGAGAAGACTACTAGCTTAGTGGTCTTCTATATTCCATAATTAATATAAGTAGATTCTGAATTGAAATAGAGCTATACATCCAGGGACAGGAAGAATTCTGAATATGTGTTAATATAAAAATATGTAATACATGGCCATGGAAGGTAAGCCCTCTCAGTTACCCCACACAGTACCCATAGCATACATCGCCTAGCATATTTCTCTACTTTGGTGGTTAATTGATAAATTATACAGTTGCTCTTTTTAGATTGCGTGTGTGGTATATGCCGACAGGATTGATGAAAATATAGCATGCTTCTGCATTTTCTTACTAGCTGTGGGACCACTCTTTTAACCTCACTTAAGGGGGAGGATAATGCTTAATTTTTGGAGCTGTGAGAAATAAAGTATGTAAAGCTCCTAGCATTGTGCCTGACACACATTTTGTGCAATTAAATTTTAACTTTTTTTCATTGTTTATTTTCGTATTTAGCAATGAGTTTGTTGTACAAATACACAGGTATTCTATTATTGAGTACTATGGGAATATTAGTTTATATAGTGACTTAAACAATTGCAAATTGCAGCTAACCATTTTTGACACAAAAGGTATATGGAAAGTTGGTTATTAGGTGCAGAACAGTTATTTATCATAAGGCAAAGATTTTTGTCTTTGAATTAAGATACAACTATTTGGTCTGGTAGAGTGGCTCAAGTGGTAGAGCACCTGCCTAGCAAACATGAGGCCCTGAGTCCAAATACCAGTACTGCCAAAAAAAATTGCAAGAGTTTGTGGAATATATTTCAAATGGAGTATCTGGAATAAAAGTATACTTTGTGTTGTAATGGAAAACTGTTATATTTTAAATTTTAGTTAACTGATGTGTACTTCCAAGATCTAGTTTACTTACTTGCTATCCATGTTCATTGTGCTACCAAGCTACAGGCAAGTGATAGGTGAACTCTTTACAGAGTTAAGATTAAGTAAGTCATTTGAATTTATGTGACCATACCAGACTATGGTTTTTGTTGCTCTTCAATTTTCTGATTTTTGTTTGTTTTTGCAGTATTGGGGTTTGAACATAGGGGCTCTTTGATTTTATTTCTCATTATTTGTCAATACTTGAAATGTTTCTTTTCTAAGAAATAATGTGCCAAAAGACTTTTTTCCCAAGCACTTTTGAAAGATACGGGGTTTTCACACATACAAGTGTCCTTGGAGTTTGTACAGTTAACCAATTTAAGGTTAACATGAAAATAGTTTTATTATGAAGTGTTTTGGCAGTAAATTCTCAGCTAGGGTTCAAGGAAGTTTAGCTGTATCTTATGCTAATAATAAGCTGAGGTGAATAATATTTTGGCATGGCTTTCAAATTACTGAAACAATTGCAGTCGGGTGCACTCTAAGGAGGCACTTCATGATGATAGCATCATGATGATAGCAGTAGAAAACTTTATAAAATCAAAATAAACTTTTTAAAATAATTATGCAAAAGTCATTGCCATGCCTTCCCAAGTAATAAAAGAGATTTTTCTATTCCCTGGCGTATATTCTATACTCGTTTGAGTTCCTATAAGTTTTATTTCTCAGGAATAAGGAAGTTGTGAAAATCAATAGTTTTATTTTATTTTTTCCATTCTTAAAAATGTCAGGAAAAAAAAAACACATAAGGCCAGATGGCTTTGTAATACATTGTATTTGAAGTAGAAAATTTCCCTATTAACACTCTCCATGATCCACTGCAAATGTCCTGAAAGGTGGTTACAAATGGTGATGAAGTTTTCAAATAGCTCTTGCAGCAACAAACCACAGAATCAATGCTTTTTTCTTTATGTCCCACTTTGTATAGTGAAAACAATTATTAGTTATAGCTTTAGATAAGTAAACTGAGATGGCAGTTGTAAAGAAAAGGAAATGTGTCAGTTTTGCACAGTATAATACTAAACTTTTAAAACTACTGAATCAATTTCTACTTCGTCCTGGGATTTACCAAATAAGGAAGTATTATATAATTAAATTTCTTTGTATCAGATATTAGCCTGAATATGAATGTGTATCATTTCCAAAAATTAATTCTATTAGTCATTAGCTGGGGTTGAAATAAGAGGTGAATTATTTAGTCATGTCTCAGCTAGTTCTCTACTTTAATTTTCTAGCAATTTGGGTTTTTTTATTTCAAATTTTATCCTTTAATATTTCTTACCTGTTTTTAGTCTCTGTGCACACACATTAACTTAAAATTTTTCCTGTGAATTTTAAAAACCTATTATTTTATATTTGTTGTTTCTTTGCCTTATTAATTGTAGATAATATAACTTCTTAATTTCTACCCATAAGCTCACTTCTCTAGGCAAGTTGTAAGATTTTTGAGTCTTCTTATTTTATAAATAGTCGATTATTTAAGCATGTTTAAATGATAACTCTATGACTTGCTCTAATGATGTTTTCATCTATAACTTGTATAACTGCTTCCTTCCAAGAGAAATTGAGCAGAGAAACTACGTTTGTTTTCATTCTTGACTCTTCTTGAAAGACAGTCATTTGATACTGTCTTATCTAAATATCTAAAATACTATGATTTGACTTCCACCAACTTCAGTTTGATGAATAACAGATCTAAATTACTATTGTGGGCTATTTGGGCAGCTAATTTCACTTAACCTGTCTTCACCATGAAAGAAATTTTGTAACTGCAGTGAGATATCACCTTATAATTTGAGGTAGAAGTTTAACTAACTAAAGATTTATCTTGCTGCATTAGACATCACTGGGGAGGGAGGCTCCGGTTTTTTGTTTTTTGGTTTTTTTTTCGGTTTTAATGTTGTAAGTTAAAATTCTCTGTACGTGTATGTAAATCATTTGCTTTAATGAGGCCCTTGATTTTAAAAATCCTCTTGGAAAATAAGCTTGTTTATAATACAGAATTGCTAGGTTTAAAAAATAAGTAGCTGGGTTATTTAATGTTTACTGAAAACAACTCAGATGTCCTTCACTGAGTAAGTGGTTCAACTGTGATATATGTGTACCATGTAATACTATGCAGCAATAAATGTGACCAGCTGTTGTTCCACATAGCAACAAAAGAATTTTGCTGACTGAAAAAGCAAAAGTCCTAAAAGGCTATGTACTATATAGTTTCATTTATATAATATTCTTGACATAATGAAATTATAGTAATGGAGAACAGATGAATAGGTACCAGTTAATAGTAATGGAGTTGGGGGAGCCGAATGGGTGTGTGATTATAAAAGGATAACGGAAGGGATCATTGCGGTGATGAAACAGCTCTGTATCTTGATTGTGGTGATGGTTATATAAATCTGTACATGGACCAGGTGCAGGTTGCTCACACCTGTACTCCTAGCTATTCAGGAGGCAGAGATCAGGAGGATCATGGTTAGAACCCAGCCTGGGCAAATAGTTTGTGGGACCCTATCTCAAAAAACCCTTCACAAAATATAGCTGGTAGAGTGGCTCAAGGTAAAGGCCCTGGGTTCAAGCCCCAGTACCATAAAAAAAGAAA